GCAGACATTGATGACACTTGAGGATATAAGATTCCCCCAAAACAAGCAGAAACATTTCCATGATCTGCTGCTATGAAGTTAAACTCCTCTCCCTATCCCAACATTTTATAAAGAGTAAGTTACTTTTATAGCCTCTGGGTAATGCTCAATAGCCTTCTGCAAACAGACCACTCTTTGAATGACTGAACACACCTCTGGAGCTCTGGTCTGAAAAGTGGAGGGCACTTGGCTTGAGGGTAGGGACATTATAAATGCTGGATGATTGAAGAGAATATTTCTCAAGTGCGAGATTTTATATTATTAAAAAAATCCAAACAGCCCCATGGAAGAAAGCTCTGCTATTTGGTTCTTTACTGAGAAAATAAGCCCACAGGCAAAGTCATCTTTAGATCAGCTTCAAAGCCTGTTGAATTCTCTCGGTCTCTAAAAGGAGAAGAAAAGCTAGTCATCATTTTTATCAGAAAGGAAAAATTTAATTTCCTTTACCAGAAAAAGGCAGCATCTATCAGAGAAACCAGTTGGTTCCTGATGTTATCACAAAGTCCAAATACTTGTGTAGCTCTGCTCAGTGATGACTGAGGCCCTCCTAAGAGGCAGCTCATCCCGTGGCAGGCAGATCTCCACGCTGAGAAAACTTGTTACTGAGTGCCCAGGTGTGGGGTTGCCTGTATGTGCTGGGACTCGAAATGTTTAATTTCAGAGTTCCTGCATAGGTGCTGGGTCTGTACTGCTACCAGCTTGGATTTTCATTGATTAAAATTGCACTTTAAACAAAATCTCTTTGGCATTTTCACTTTTGTAAAAATCTTGGATGCTGGCCAGACTCGCCCTGGGAGCAGGTATTGTGTTTTCCTCCTGATCAGAGATTGTTCATTTATGAATAGCTGGCTGTAAAAACTTGCCTCATGCACATGAAAATTGAACGTGGAATTTTTTAATTGCCATGAGTTTTGCTGTTACCAAAAGGGCTGTAGCAATGGCAAAGGGCAGAAGGACAGATTCTTTTTTCTTCTTCCTAAGTGAACTCTGTGATCTGCACTCTTAAATGATGTTTGTCCAAGAGGCACTGACTCAGTGGGCTGTTTGATCCCCTTACAGATCATGATTCTGGAAGGAAGTGGTGTAATGAATCTCAACCCCAGTAACAACCTCCTTCACCAGCAGCCAGCCTGGACAGACAGCTACTCCACGTGCAATGGTAAGGGGGCCTAGTAGGTGTTGGTTTTACTGCCCCTGGGGGGATGCTGTTTTTGCTTTAATTGCTCTCCCAACTTAATGTTTGCAAAACACAAGTTTTATTCAGCAGCGAATGTGGGGACCAGGGGAATGGGAAACATTCTTAATGCTGGAGTTTCCTATGGGCTCCCAGGATTACATACAGAAGCCCATTTGGGACATTCCATCGTCACCTCCCAAAATTCAAGGTTCCATGTTGTTAGCTTGGTGGTAAGGGTGGTAGAAGGGATCTCAAAGGGAAGACCACCTGTTGAAGCTTTTAACAGTGTTTTGCTGGGATCTCAAGATAGGCTAGGAGAGAGAGGTGTTTGTGTGTTAAGCATGGTGGTGAAGGATGAGAGAGTTAGAGCAACGTAAATCTTTGTATTTCATCTTCCAGTGACCTCTCTTTGTAAGGAAAGAGGAAATTTGTTAGGAGAACAAGTGCTCTCCTGCAGTGCTTTAACCTAAAATACACTGATTAGAAGAGGGAGGGTCTGGTGGTGGGGCTTTTAGAGGGTTTTGTGGTTAAGCCTGTGTCTTACTGTAAAGGCTGAACTGAATAAAGTGATTGCTGAATCAGGGGCCCCACACCCCATTGTGAAGGCGTTCAGTTTAGACTGCTGTGCATCCCACAGCAGTGAGTTTAAGAAACTCTGGGCCTTATCCCACCCAACACCTGCTGCTAATGTCCCCACCAGAGACTCTGCTGATATTGCTTGCCTTGAAACATGGACATGGCCTGTTCATGAGCAGGTCTGAGAAGCAGGAGTGGGAGGATAGTGGGAGGGTTATATTCCCCAACAAGCAGCTGATCCATGTAGAGCTCCACCTCTTTTAATTAGGAATCCCAGCCAAAAGCTGGTTGAAAGGGTAAACAGGTGGCCTTCTCTTATTTGATTACCCATCCTACCAAATTGCTGCCCTTTCTGGCAGCAGACATCAGATTCCCTGTGGGGGCTGAGAAGAAGGATTCCAGAGAGTGATCCCAGCCAAAAGCTGGTTGAAAGGGTAAACAGGTGGCCTTCTCTTATTTGATTACCCATCTTACCAAATTGCTGCCCTTTCTGGCAGCAGACATCAGATTCCCTGTGGGGGCTGAGAAGAAGGATTCCAGAGAGTGCAGAAAATGTTTGTCATCCCCAGCTTGCTGGACCTTGATTAAGGCAACATTCCTCCTGTCTGCTTTGGAGAAAACTTGGACGGTGTGTTCAGCAGGGAGTAGAATTTAGGTGCCATTTTTATTTCTTAACTTCCAGAGGCCCCAAAGAAGGTCCAGCTCTTGATCAAGATTGGTGGAAAGGGGTAGGTAGGCTGAATGGCAGAGATCAGCTGAACTCACAGGATTTTCAGTGCTTTTCCTGAAACTTCAGGAATCAGATAGGTTCCCTGGCCGATGGAAGTTCTCACCAGACAACTTCAGACAAAATTTTCTGATTCTCCCAAGTTCAAACAGGATGAAATATCAGGAACTATCCTTTAATCTAGATCATATTAAGTATGTCGAAGAGATTATTCCATAAACCTGTTGGGTTATTGAAAGTCATTGTCTCTTGTTGGCAAACCCAGAGCAGCATTGTCATAGCAACACGATTATTTTAGAAAAAAAGATCAAAGACTTGGGGAGCCATGAAAAATATATATCCTATCTTTAAACAGCTGTATTTGTGAGACACCAAAAAATTTGGGGAAGATGGTAACATCTAGTCTAAGCTGTATGTTTTTGCATATTTGGGAATATTTTTACTAACTAAATTTTTGGACTAGATTTTTCTAATCCTTCCCCTCTCCTCCACTGTTAGTTTCCACTTTAGGGCCCAAGCTGAGGATTTAGGGCTGCTTTTGTTTGGCCACGAGGTATGAGGCATGGAGCCCATACTGCGAGCAGTGGGTATTATCAACGGAGGTCACCATTGTGCCCTAAATGACCTTGGCCTTCTGCTCTTAGTGCTTCTGTGGTCTGGAAGCAGTGGACGGATTCTGAGGGGATTAGCAAAAGTGGGATTGGCTTGGAAATATTCCTTCTTTAGCCTGTACTCTGGGGGTGTTGAGGGCTAGGCCGTGGGTATTATAGAAATCACAGTTTCCTGAGCCCTTTAGAGCCTTGTCACTCAACAGACCAGCAGCATCAGCATCACGTGGAAGCGTGTTAGGAATGCAGAAACTCAGGCCTCACCCCAGATCTGCTCAATCAGAATCTTCATTTGAACAATATTCCATGATGATTCATAATCACATTAAAGTCTGACAAGTGCTGATCTAGCATGACACTGAAGGAAAAGTTTGGGACAATTTCCTTGCACTATGTTTTCCTCTACTGGTCCATCCTTGAGTTTGTGGCAATATCTACGTGTCATGTGAAGTGTGATTTCCCCTGCTTCTGCTTGATGGGATGCAATAACATCTTCTCCTCCCCGTCCCCTTTCCTGGGAGAGCATTCCTCCCCTTGAGCACTGGTTTCGAGGGGACTATACGATCGCTCAGCCCTGTTACATTCCCTGAGGGGTTGGCTCTCTCTTTTCCACCCCTCCAGGACTTTGGGCCAACTATCCAATATTCTTTCACATGAGCCCAAGTTGCATAAATAGATGGTTAGTACATGCTATTCTCAGAAATATTTGTCGACTTGAATGAACTTGACTTCTTCCACTGTACCTCAATTAACCACCTTGTGAATGTATCTCACACTTCCTCCAGAGTCCTATGTTATTTCTTCTTCAGTAACAAATTCCACTAAATAAATACAGAGCGAGCACCTACTGTGGCAAGGTCTCTCAAGTAGTTTTTTATGGGCGATACAAAGATGAGGAAGACAGAGTCCATGACCTTGAGTGTACGATTTACAAAGAAGACAGTACTTAGAGACCTGTAAAGAAAAGCAGAACATGACAGAAGCCATTAGGGGAAATACCAAGCGTGTCTCCTGGAGATTCAGAGGAAGCCCTCGTAGGACATGGGGGGAATCAGTGGTAGCTTTATGGGGTGGTGAGAGTTTGGGAGATGGGTAGGAATTCAACAGGAAGGAGAGGTAGAATACAAACTGGGCTCAAAGAACAGCGTAGAAAAAAGACAACTCATAATTCACTTGACGAACAGTGAGGAGCCTCAATGCCTGGCTTGGCCGTTCTATACCTAATTTCAGTGGATAACAGGGAGCTACTGAAGGGAACCGAATAGGAAAATGACATCATGGTAGCTGTAATAAGCAGTCTGGGGCAGTGGGATATCAGCACAGTCAGCAGATGAATAATCTGGACACATGTAGAGGAGCAAAGACATTACAGAGAAAAGGACCTTAATATCTGATCTCATTTTTGGCTGAAAATGGTCTAAGTTTGTGGTGTGTGTGTTTGTGTGTATAAGAGAAAAATGCGAGAGAGAGAGAAAAGAGGAAGAGAACTATTTGGGTGGGGACAATAAGCAAATAAGTTGCTGAAACTACAGCAATGCTTCAGATTTCATGGTACTTTGTGGGAGACGGGAGTGAGCTCAGAGCACTTCAGGTCGCATGTCCTCATCAAGTGCCCAGGGGTAAGTCTCATGCTAGGGAGGACACGTAGATGCATAGAGGCTATATGACTGGCCCCCACCACAACTGGGAGAAGAACCACATTTCTGCAAGTCTTCCTTCCAGAGCCTGTCTCATTCTCCTACCCCCACGCTGATGCTCACGGACTGTGGTTGTGTTCCCCATGACAGAGGCAACCAGCAGTGCATCCCCAGGTCTGAGACTATGCCCGGAGCAACCAGGGGTCATTCACGGGGCCGCCTCCTGTTTTGCAGTTTCCAGCGGGTTTTTTGGAGGTCAGTGGCATGAAATCCATCCCCAGTACTGGACCAAGTACCAGGTGTGGGAGTGGCTCCAGCACCTCCTGGACACCAACCAGCTGGACGCCAGCTGCATCCCTTTCCAGGAGTTTGACGTCAATGGCGAGCACCTCTGCAGCATGAGTTTGCAGGAGTTCACCCGGGCGGCAGGGACAGTGGGACAGCTCCTCTACAGCAACCTTCAGCATCTCAAGTGGAACGGTGACTATCTCTCTCCCCACCCTGATAGGAGCCAGCTGGGAAGAGCCGAGACTCTGCAGCAGGCAGGGTTCCTTGTCAGGGGTTACAAAAGATGGTCTCCCCTCCAAATGACCATTTCCCAAGACTGGGTAGTAGAAGGCAGGTGAGAGGACAGAAATGAAGCCTAGGGTGGAAAATGTGTCTAGTCCCTCATAAATGCTGGTGTAGTTTAATTCCCCCCTTATGATGATAGTAGTTTTCAAGGAGACAAAGGGCTGGCTAGGTAGTCACAGAATTCTTGCTGCTCTTAGAAAGTTTTTTCTTCTTTCCTTTGCAAACGGGGTTCCATAGTTTAAATCCCAATCACTTGCCTGTTAAAGATCATCATGGCTACTTAAACAAACTAAAAAATCACTTTAGACCTAGGTTTTTAAGATGGTGATTTAAGGGTGGTAAAAAGATATATGAAATCAGATCTATGTTTGTGTTTTGCGGGGGAAGAAGGCTCATAATATTTCAGCAGATTCTTACAAGGTCAGTAACTCAGAAAAAGGGTTAGAACTAATGATCTGGACACATGTGGATATTTCTGCAGTGATTTCTGAAACTGCTGCTGCCCTAAAGCCTCAGATGTCTCACCGAAGGCCTTGTCTAGCACAGCGGTAGGTCACCATTCCAAACACTGTTCATTGGTGATGGTTTATTTACACATACACATTTTCTACTGACTTGAAAGACCCAGTAGGACAGATAACTAATCTTGCAGAATGTCTCTGACACTGGCATAAGGGTCCCCTGATATTGGCTGTAAAAAAATTAGCTCCTCTGAGAACTATAGGCATCGTGGAAAGCAGCAATATGTAAGAATAGGGAGGTGGCCTGTGGAAAGGGCAGTTATGTCTTAGCAGAGCCCGTGTTTGGGCAGGTAGCTGGGACTTGGGAAGCATGAGCATCAGGACTATAAGGCAGAGTCAGACCTTGATGGCAGCCGTCACACTGAGGAGGACACGGAGGAGGACGCTGGGTCTGGCTTGGAGCCTGCGCTGGGGTGGCCATCGTGGATGACCTCATTCAGCTCCCCGCACTCCCTTCTTCCCACCCACCGCATAGCCGTGGTTGCTCATTTTTCTTTTACTAGAACCAAACCAGACAAGGCTCTATAAATTTCTTTTACTAGAACCAAACCAGACAAGGCTCTGTAAGTAACCCCCAGGAATCTTCAGAAAGAGCAGACTTACACTTGAAGAATTAAAAATATTTACCTCTCTACCTCCAATTAAATCCACTCCTTTAAAGCTTAGCCCTGATTGAAGCCTGAGGCAAGGAGGCGTGAGAGGTGCTGTGCCATCTTTGACTTTCCACCTTTGACCTCCCATCTTTAACCTCCCATCTTTGACTTGTTTGGTCTTACTGAATGCTGCTGTTGCCGCTGAGCGCCTCATGTCCAGCCAGGTTTCTCACCCTTGCTTTGTTATTTGCTTTTTTGTAGACATTCTGTTAACTTACATTTATTGAGACCTTACTTATACTAAGCACTCAAAGTGAATTGCTTCATTTAATGACCTTATGACAAAATAAATATTGTACCCATTTTATAGATGGGAAAACCGAAAGTCAGAGAGGTTAGAGGCATAACCTCCCTTCCTGAGATATTTATAATCTGTCTGGGGAGAAAAAGTGTACCAGATTCATTCACATGTATATATGGGCTTTTGTATGATACAACTTGAGAGCAGTTGCAAGCAAATGCAAGGATATGTGGCATGCATGCTTGTACATGTGATGAAGACATAAATAAGGAAAGAATTGCTGCCTTTTATACACACGTATCTCAGACACTGGACCTAATCAAGATGGTTTGATTAAATATAAGATCAAAGAAGAATCAAGCTAATTAAGTTAAAATAGTTTTTCCTGTATTTTTGCTTTCATTTCATATCTTATTCTAGTATGGGAAAGCACCTTAGAGGTTGTCCAGTAACGTTATCTAGTTTAATCCCCTCAATTTACAGATGAGGAAACTAAGACCCAGAAATATAAACTTCCTAGTTTGTAGTAGTGAAAAAACTAGTCTTCTGGCTTCTGAAGTTTTGTTTCTACTATACTGGATATCTTCCCTAAATATACTGGATATCTTCCCTATATAAAACCAAATAATTCCATCCGATGTGGGGGCCCTAGACTATTGATTTTCTGAGGCCAGGGACTCCAGGCTTGAGTTTGTAGAGGCTGGCAGGAAAGCCCCCTCCCATAAGCAAACATAGGTGACCAAGCAGTGGGATAGCAGAAGCTCTTCAAAGAAACCAGCTCTGTCCTTGTTTGAGCATAAGCTGTTGGCACCATCTGGGCCCTCTCTGACTTTCCCAATCTGTCCTTCACAGGCCAGTGCAGCAGTGACCTGTTCCAGTCCACCCATAATGTCATTGTCAAGACTGAACAAACCGGTGAGTAGTAGGGGGCAAAAGGGGCCAAGTTGGCTGGGCAAAGCCCCGGGAGAACAATATGGAGAGCGTGCAAGAGAGAATGTGGGAGCAGGTATTGACAGGGAACCCAGAGTGGCCTCTTCCCTGGCTGTCTCCAGCAGGCCACCCCGCCACGAGCCTCATCCCTTGCCCTTGGGCCTAGTGCCTGCCAACTATTTCTGATTTATAGACTGATGGTGAGTCTCCCTTCTGCCCACACTTCTCTGCTTCCTGCTACTGGTCAGGGCATCATCTGGACGTCAGGCCCGCAGCTAGAAAAATGCAGAATCGAGGGGGGCCTCCTCACCCCAAAAAAGAGTCAAGGGACTGGACTTGACCAAGTTTGGAAAAGCAAGGAGAGAAGCAGAGTCAATGTCTCCTCTCCCTTTCTTCCCTCGATGGGAGTGTTTTTCGCAAGAAGGAGGAAGATGCTGACTTGGTGTTGTGGTTAACGTAGTTTCTCGGATCCTTCTGTAGGGAGCTTCTGTAGGGTTGTCTAAAGGCAGCTGCACAACCCAATTCCTGCCTTAAGTGCATTTTTATACAAAAGATTTTGTTCTGGGCTCTGAGCAGAGTCTATAGTCCTATAGTATCCACATTCGTTTTTGTTCCCCTTTCCCTATCCCGAATCTCTCTCCTGCAGATCCTCCCTCAAAGTCCCCAGGCCGTGATAAAATGGTGCAGTTTCCACTGCTCCTGGGTCACTCTCCAAGTCCACGTCAGGGAGACTGTGAGCCACATGGGCTGCCCAACTTTGTCAGGGTTATGTGTCAGTTGCCAAGGACAGAATTTGACCTGGGGGGTGATTTATGAGTCACTTGGGGCCAAAATTGGCGCATGCAGTTGATTACTCTTTTATAAAGGGGCTGGCTGGTCTACCATTATTAAAGAAAGAAACAGTAGCTGCTAAGCATGCTAATTAGGCTTTCATAGCCCTGCCCTTCTCTCCAGAGACCAGGGGATGGGTCACCTGGATGGTCTGTGCTTTACAGGTCTGCCCTAGCCCTAGAGACAGACACAGGACTTGGCCCAGAGGATGGTGCCCCCTCCCCCTCTTGACCTGACAGATAGCTGCACCAGAGGAATGAGGGTGATATTGGAGAGGTCCCAAATAACTTGATAATTCCTCCTGACCATCCAGACATTCTTGTGTTGCCAGTTCAGAAAAGCTGAGCCGAAAGGGTGGAGAAGGTCCACCCTAGGAGGAGGGGAGAAGAGGCTCAGAGAGGGGCCAACACCCCCAAACCTCTTTGGTTCATTTTGTTTTCAGAGACAACAACAGGTGTACGAGGTGACCTGACAAGGAGAGAGGGTGTAACCCCAAGAGATTGGGCTTGGGGTGCCCAAACACGTAGCTATTAGTTAAAATGCCAGCTAAATCCCTATGTCGTAAACAGGAGGACTTAGCCAGTGAGTCAGTTTTTATACCATTTGTGCTATAAAAACAATATAAAACTCGGCCAGTAGTTTACCGTCCACATCCTAGAATTCAGAACCTGGGCTGGANTTCTGAAACTGCTGCTGCCCTAAAGCCTCAGATGTCTCACCGAAGGCCTTGTCTAGCACAGGGGTAGGTCACCATTCCAAACACTGTTCATTGGTGATGGTTTATTTACACATACACATTCTCTACTGACTTGAAAGACCCAGTAGGACAGATAACTGATCTTGCAGAATGTCTCTGACACTGGCATAAGGGTCCCCTGATATTGGCTATAAAAAAATTAAGGGCCGGCCCGGTGGCGCGCTGCTACAGTGCACCGCTTGGGAAGCGCGGCGGTGCTCCTGCCGAGGGTTCGGATCCCACATACAGACTGGCCGCTCACTGGCTGAGCAAGGTGCGGGCGCAACACTGAGGGTTGCGATCCGTTGCTGGTCACAAAAAAAAAAGAAAAAAAAAATTAGCTCCTCTGAGAACTATAGGCATCGTGGAAAGCAGCAATATGTAAGAATAGGGAGGTGGCCTGTGGAAAGGGCAGTTATGTCTTAGCAGAGCCTGTGTTTGGGCAGGTAGCTGGGACTTGGGAAGCATGAGCGTCAGGACTATAAGGCAGAGTCAGACCCTGATGGCAGCCGTCACACTGAGGAGGACACGGAGGAGGACGCTGGGTCTGGCTTGGAGCCTGCGCTGGGGTGGCCATCGTGGATGACCTCATTCAGCTCCCGGCACTCCCTTCTTCCCACCCACCGCACAGCCGTGGTTGCTCATTTTTCTTTTACTAGAACCAAACCAGACAAGGCTCTGTAAGTAACCCCCAGGAATCTTCAGAAAGAGCAGACTTACACTTGAAGAATTAAAAATATTTACCTATCTACCTCCAATTAAATCCACTCCTTTAAAGCTTAGCCCTGATTGAAGCCTGAGGCAAGGAGGCCTGAGAGGTGCTGTGCCATCTTTGACTTCCCACCTTTGACCTCCCATTTTTGACCTCCCATCTTTAACCTTCCATCTTTGACTTGTTTGGTCTTACTGAATGCTGCTGTTGCCGCTGAGCGCCTCATGTCCAGCCAGGTTTCTCACCCTTGCTTTGTTATTTGCTTTTTTGTAGACATTCTGTTAACTTACATTTATTGAGACCTTACTTATACTAAGCACTCAAAGTGAATTGCTTCATTTAATGACCTTATGACAAAATAAATATTGTACCCATTTTATAGATGGGAAAACCGAAAGTCAGAGAGGTTAGAGGCATAACCTCCCTTCCTGAGATATTTATAATCTGTCTGGGGAGAAAAAGTGTACCAGATTCATTCACATGTATATATGGGCTTTTGTATGATACAACTCGAGAGCAGTTGCAAGCAAATGCAAGGATATGTGGCATGCATGCTTGTACATGTGATGAAGACATAAATAAGGAAAGAATTGCTGCCTTTTATACACACATATCTCAGACACTGGACCTAATCAAGATGGTTTGATTAAATATAAGATCAAAGAAGAATCAAGCTAATTAAGTTAAAATAGTTTTTCCTGTATTTTTGCTTTCATTTCATATCTTATTCTAGTATGGGAAAGCACCTTAGAGGTTGTCTAGTAACTTTATCTAGTTTAATCCCCTAAATTTACAGATGAGGAAACTAAGACCCAGAAATATAAACTTCCTCACAGCTAGTAGTGAAAAAACTAGTCTTCTGGCTTCTGAAGTTTTGTTTCTACTATACTGGATATCTTCCCTATATATACTGAATATCTTCCCTATATAAAACCAGATAATTCCATCCGATGTGGGGGCCCTAGACTATTGATTTTCTGAGGCCAGGGACTCCAGGCTTGAGTTTGTAGAGGCTGGCAGGAAAGCCCCCTCCCATAAGCAAACATAGGTGACCAAGCAGTGGGATAGCAGAAGCTCTTCAAAGAAACCAGCTCTGTCCTTGTTTGAGCATAAGCTGTTGGCACCATCTGGGCCCTCTCTGACTTTCCCAATCTGTCCTTCACAGGCCAGTGCAGCAGTGACCTGTTCCAGTCCACCCATAATGTCATTGTCAAGACTGAACAAACCGGTGAGTAGTAGGGGGCAAAAGGGGCCAAGTTGGCTGGGCAAAGCCCCGGGAGAACAATATGGAGAGCGTGCAAGAGAGAATGTGGGAGCAGGTATTGACAGGGAACCCAGAGTGGCCTCTTCCCTGGCTGTCTCCAGCAGGCCACCCCGCCACGAGCCTCATCCCTTGCCCTTGGGCCTAGTGCCTGCCAACTATTTCTGATTTATAGACTGATGGTGAGTCTCCCTTCTGCCCACACTTCTCTGCTTCCTGCTACTGGTCAGGGCATCATCTGGACGTCAGGCCAGCAGCTAGAAAAATGCAGAATCGAGGGGGGCCTCCTCACCCCCAAAAAGAGTCAAAGGACTGGACTTGACCAAGTTTGGAAAAGCAAGGAGAGAAGCAGAGTCAATGTCTCCTCTCCCTTTCTTCCCTCGATGGGAGTGTTTTTCGCAAGAAGGAGGAAGATGCTGACTTGGTGTTGTGGTTAACGTAGTTTCTCGGATCCTTCTGTAGGGAGCTTCTGTAGGGTTGTCTAAAGGCAGCTGCACAACCCAATTCCTGCCTTAAGTGCATTTTTATACAAAAGATTTTGTTCTGGGCTCTGAGCAGAGTCTATAGTCCTATAGTATCCACATTCGTTTTTGTTCCCCTTTCCCTATCCCGAATCTCTCTCCTGCAGATCCTCCCTCAAAGTCCCCAGGCCGTGATAAAATGGTGCAGTTTCCACTGCTCCTGGGTCACTCTCCAAGTCCACGTCAGGGAGACTGTGAGCCACATGGGCTGCCCAACTTTGTCAGGGTTATGTGTCAGTTGCCAAGGACAGAATTTGACCTGGGGGGTGATTTATGAGTCACTTGGGGCCAAAATTGGCGCATGCAGTTGATTACTCTTTTATAAAGGGGCTGGCTGGTCTACCATTATTAAAGAAAGAAACAGTAGCTGCTAAGCATGCTAATTAGGCTTTCATAGCCCTGCCCTTCTCTCCAGAGACCAGGGGATGGGTCACCTGGATGGTCTGTGCTTTACAGGTCTGCCCTAGCCCTAGAGACAGACACAGGACTTGGCCCAGAGGATGGTGCCCCCTCCCCCTCTTGACCTGACAGATAGCCGCACCAGAGGAATGAGGGTGATATTGGAGAGGTCCCAAAAACTTGATAATTCCTCCTGACCATCCAGACATTCTCGTGTTGCCAGTTCAGAAAAGCTGAGCCGAAAGGGTGGAGAAGGTCCACCCTAGGAGGAGGGGAGAAGAGGCTCAGAGAGGGGCCAACACCCCCAAACCTCTTTGGTTCATTTTGTTTTCAGAGACAACAACAGGTGTACGAGGTGACCTGACAAGGAGAGAGGGTGTAACCCCAAGAGATTGGGCTTGGGGTGCCCAAACACGTAGCTATTAGTTAAAATGCCAGCTAAATCCCTATGTCGTAAACAGGAGGACTTAGCCAGTGAGTCAGTTTTTATACCATTTGTGCTATAAAAACAATATAAAACTCGGCCAGTAGTTTACCGTCCACATCCTAGAATTCAGAACCTGGGCTGGAGGAGGGAGGTCAGCCTAGATCCATGGCGAGGGCAAAGCAGAAAGGTTCTGATGGGAACAGGGTGAGAGATTTTAGAGCTCTTGGCCAGCCAGGAAAGAAATTGCTTCTGTTGGAGACTAGCCCAGATCTGGGGGTTGCGTAGGAGTCGGGCATCACTTGGGGTAGGTGAAGAGGAGTTTCCTTTGAATTTGAAATCTGGAGTCACTCGGAGTGAGACATGCTTACCCAGCACTCAGGAGAGCGCAAGCAAGCACTTCTTTGCCCAGATGAGGCAATGGGGCCCTATGCTTAAAATTTGTTTGTCTGATTTGGTAACACTTCCCTCCCCTTCTCCTTGGTTTTGTTTTGAGAATTTTATGTCATCCTTTAAGCTAATTGGAGAAACCTAGAGGGAGGGGGCTGTTATCCAACTTGAGGGGAGATTCTCTCTAGGATTCAGCAACAAAGTGATAAGACGGACTAGACCTTTTCTAAAAGAAACATCATTAATTTTCCCAGGAAGAAATTAACAGGAAAAGATGCTCACTGATCTCGTATTATAAATTTGTCACTAGCCAGGCTTTCCTCCCACCCCAGGGTAAAAGTATTCTGGTTGTGATATAGTAGCATGCAAGAGAAGGCCAAGCCAGGCTGGGACATTTCCAGGAAACCAAAGCAGGGGTCTAGGACAGGATCCCGCTGTTGCAATTTCTCTCACTTCCCTAAAGATGCAACAGGTATGGGACACGTGGACAGGGCCATGACTAAGCCCACTTCCCCCAGGACACTGGAAGAAAAATAGGATAACATTATTATATGTTAACATGTGGCTGAAGCGGAATCTTATCTCTTCTCTCTGAGGACCACCCTCTATCCCCCAACACTTCTTTGATGAGCAGTGGTTTAGAAAAGGCATATTCCTCACCCTGGGGTAAATGATTGCTGACCATTCCCATTTTCTTTTCTTTGTAGACCCTTCCATCATGAACACCTGGAAAGAAGAAAACTATTTATACGATACCAACTATGGTAGCACAGTAGGTAACTAACTCCCTAACACTTAAGGGCATTTTGCATTCTTATTCTGTTTATCTTACAGCCACAGTGTTATATTGTAAGGAGGGACCTCTTCATGCCTATATCTTTTTATTGCCACAGATTTGTTGGACAGCAAAACTTTCTGCCGAGCCCAGATCTCCATGACAACCACCGCTCACCTTCCTGCCGGTAAGTTGTCCTGACATCTGAAGCTGAATATGCCTAATGCAAGTGCTTATTGATAATTAATGAGAATTACCAATACCCTACATTTCCACTTTGCTGGAATCTTTCTCACTAAAAGGCTAGAAAAGGAAGGGAGTTGTAAGAGGTCTGCTTTTGAGCCAATATTTGTACATCGAAGATGACCAGCAGGGATGCTTCTAGGTGGGTGTTTGTCTGCTGTGAAACCAGTCACTCTCTTGTGACAACAAAATTTGTTTATGCTTTCCTCTGTTTTCAA